AAAAAAACGAGGCTGGCTAAAAGATTGGGGCTTTCGTTTTGGAGCTAAAAATCATCATGTAGACTTCTAGGCTCAGGTTGGTGCATGACCTCTGGGACTCTCCATCTCTGTAGGGTCCCAGAGCTTGGGCGCTTGCCTGACTCCAAATATCTACATACCATTTTTTTTTCCTGCCCCAGAAGCCAAACCCTCTGAGCCAGCTGATCTGGGTCAACCTTGAGATTTTTATCTCGCTACAGACATAGTCTAAGTTGGTCTCCTATTACAGACTTTGTTATGCAAACACATACTTCATTTAAAATGAATTTAATATGATAGTAAGCTGCAGGATCCTACAAGAGGGAAATGACTTTGAGCCATTGTTACTATTTAAACTCCAACTATGGCTTTAGATTTTGAGAATCTGGGCCCAAGTATTGCAGTGACACCCAGAAGGACACTTTTTGCTTATAGACACATACAGTTTCAAAAGCATATCTGAGAACCCAGAGGAGCAGTTAATAGCTTGGTTACATTTCTCTCCCCCATGCTTGGGACAGACTGAGAACTGACAACATTAAGGTATGTCTACACTTGGAGATAGGGGTATGACTCCTGGGCTACGTCTACACTGGCATGATTTTCCAGAAATGCTTTTAACGGAAAAGTTCCAGATATTTTAGAAAGACTTTCTTTTGAGCGGAAACCAAACCCCACAATGGCCGAAAATCTTCCCTTTAAAGGAAAAATAAGGCATTTGAAGAACAAAGCACTGTCACCTTCTCTTTTTCTTTTCCCTCTTCCCCTCCTGAAAGTGTTGACTCGGAAGAGGGATATTAAGTAATTGACTCCACTCTCCAAGCTCTCCGATGGCAGCATGTCCTAGCTGCTTCCTGCACGTGAATAGCAGCGGCAAGATGCATGCTATATTCTCTTTGTTTCCAGCACAGCTGCACTGGTTTGGCTCTAATCATACCACAGGACAGTGACTGTGGCAGCATTTTTAAGTCCCGTTGCAGAAAGGTGAGCACATCATCATGGAGACTTCTCCAGTGTATACACAAAAACCTCTTATGGCAATACTAACAGGAAATAAAATACTCCTGAAGCTAAAAGTGACGAAAAAAATCCCTTTACCACTGACATACCTACCTCCTGCCCCCAATCCTGGATGCAGTACCCAAGTGTTCGAGGCCTGTAAAATGAAGTTGATAGGAGAAGTGATTCTGTGTCTGGTGGGGGACTTGTAAATCAGTTCAGACGAGTTGTGCTTTGAAACCCATTTTAGCTGACGTATGTGCTTTTGAGATTGAATGCACTTTCGAGTTGCAAATGCTGCTGTATTTCATAAGTCATATTGCTTAGGATAGTCAAGTCCTTGGGTGACAGTAAAACAGGAGCTGACAAGATACATGAGACTCAATTCCTTGAGAGCTTTCACCTTGAAAGACGAGCAATGGCCTTGGGTTTTAAAGACTGTCAAACTAAAGTGCTTGCAAATGGAGAGATGGATTTAAATTAATTTTGCTCTTTTCTTGCCCTTCAGGTGAATTTGTGGTTGGTGGGAGGAGCTGGCTTGGCAGTTGGATTCTGATGTCCTCATCCATCAAAAGAAAGAGTACAGTATGCGCATCAACAGTGCATACTTCTTTAAATTAGTATTAAATTTATTCTCGAGGAGCCATCTCTCAAGGTGAAGGGTGTCCCCGTTGCTTGCTATTTACCTTTCCTCAGATCTGAAGAACAAGGGGACAGCAAATGAAAATTTAAAGCAACCAGGTTGAAACTGATGAAAAGGACTCACTCTTATAGTCAACTTAATAATGCTTAATCTGTGGAACTCCCTGCCACAAGATGGTATGAAGACCAAGAACATAGCAAGATTCAGAAAAGAGTTAACACTTTTCTTGATAATAATAACATAAAAATATGCAACCCTCTTGCATCAGAATATAAATCTACCAAAGCACCTGGTACTGCCACATTTCCCCAATAGGAAGAGAGGCTCTGAATTTTATTTCTGTTCCATTTACTAAATGAAAGGAATTAAACACTGGAATGAAATGGATGAATACAGAGCCTGAGCCTGCATTTCATTTACAGCCAGAACTTTTGCTGATGGCAAGGAATGCAGGATCGGGTCTTGAGACCCCATGTCTCGTTCAGATACGTTGTCGTGACAGGAAATGGTTTAACCCTGACATTCAGACAATATTACTAATTAACTTAGAGTTCAGTCGAAGTTGGCAAAATTCTTGTTCGTTTTCGAATTTAGCAGTGCCATCTGCAGGAAACTCTGAGAATGTCTCTATGCAACCAGAGGGCAAACCTCTGCTCTAGGCTCCGCGAAACAGATTTCACTGTCACTCTTGTGCTCTTCCTAGAAAAGCAGAATTCTCACTGTTGAAGGTGGGAGATCTGAGCATGCAGATAATGGAGAGTATTTCAGTAGAGATTCTCCAAAGACAGAATTTTGCTCTGAAATTCCATCTCTGGTAACTACTATCAATTCCTACAAGTTTTTTCAGCCCTCCTCATTATATTTAAGCTCTGATCCAACTGCAAATGAAGTCAATGGGAGTCTTTCCACTGAGTTGGATGCAGCCCTTAATTCTCTCATGCGTCCCATGGAAAGCTCTCTCTCTCTGTGCTCTAGTGCTTTTTAAAAGCCCTCCAGTAGACAGACAGATTATATTATTTAGCTCCATACAATGCTGCATAAGAAGTGGTGCTGGTGAGTCATTACATGGCATTCTTCTCTCTGACTCAGTATCGAGTCAATGCCCCAGCGTGTTGCTAACGGGTCCTGTGTAGCTGAAGGTGCTCTCTTTCAGATGAGACGTGAACACTGAAGTCCTGGCCCCTTTCTTTATTGTTATTTATTGACAAAGACCATTTGCTTGTGAGCCACTTGGTTGCATGATGTAGAATTCACACCCTAGAACAAATTGTCTTCATTTTCCAGTCGAGAACTGGAGCTTTCAGTGCCAAGAGTGATCAGTGTTTTAAACAATCTGGAACAAAATGTTTTATTTAAAAACCCAGCAAGACTAGGCTATTGCACATTCACTGCAGGGTGTGAGTCCTTAATACATGAACATTTACTGCACATAAATGTCAAGCACTCTCCCTTTTGTTTACCACTTCAGTGACTGCTTTCAATAACTTTTGCCTGGGTGCAACCCATTTATTCATGCCTAGTGTCTATGTAGCAGAGCTGAATGGAGAATGGCAATTCTGTTTCATGGCAACTTTGGAGGTTTTATGAATTTGTCATTCTGCATTGGATTGAAAACAGAAGTGTGCATGTGTGAGAAAGGAGACTGGTCTGAGATTTGGGAGACCCAGGTTAAAGTCCCTGCTGTCTGACCAAAGATATTCATCCCAAATCGCTTTGCATGATGGAGGGGGTTCAGCATGGGTCTCTCATGCCCCAAAGCAGTATCTAGCCATCCAGCTCTTGAGTGTATGTGTCCCTCTCTAAATTCTTCCAGATTAAAACATTATCAAAATCTATTTGTCTCCACAAAATTCAACAACTTCATTGAGTCAAAAATGTTCCGACCAGTTCTGCCACACCACTCAGTGTGTTTACTGGACAAGTTAAATAAAAGGCTTCATAAAAATCCCATAATATTTCTTGGAAGTGAAGAGTTACCCTGGCAAAATTCCAATTTCTCCTGCATTACCCCAAACTCCTCTCCTGGTTTCAATTAAATAAATTAGTGTCCACTTTTCTTTTAATAAAACAAACAAACAAACAAACAAACAAACAAACAAACAAACAAACAAACAACCCTTTCCTCCCAACATTGCATAAGGCTAGCTGTGCAGAGTGGCTGCCATATAAGATGGCTTCATTTTGTTGGCTGGTGAGAGAGGCGTAGGTATGACTATTTTTTTAGACTAGATTCTAAGTGCAGTGAAAATGTTGTATGTCCAGAATAACTGAGATCACAAGTCCGTGGAGTGACTCTGGCTTTACACGAGTGTAAGTGAGATCATAATTTACAGATCGGGGGCAAGTTGTGATGACAAATTACAGGCTGCAAAGTGCTACAGAAATGTAAAGTGATCCACAGAGAAATAGCAGCAGCTGAGCCACAAAAACCCCAGGAGAAAAGCGGCAGAGAAAGTTCAGAATTTCCTGGCTTTATCAGTAGGTCCTATTTGTAGTATTGTAGCACCAAGGAGCCTAGGCACTGCACAGACAAACTGGACTTCTCACACGCACAAAACTTTAAATAGGTATAAAGGAAACTAGAAGATAAAAGCTGTACTAAAATGACACCTCATTTCCGACTTTTGTACTTTTTATCCATAACTCCAATAAGCATCAGTGAATGGGAGTTATAGGCAATGACATCCAGAATATTTAGAAATCCAAATTTTATCAATTAAGATGCTTTTAATTAAAGCACATAAAAATGCCAGTGAAAGACTTGAGGTTCTGCAGCTCTGCCACCTCATTTTACTTTAAATGGAAAAAGTTTTAAGAAGAAGATGCTGTGTTGGGGGGCTCTAGGGTAGTAGTTGGATTTGAACTAGCAGGAATTTCCCCCTTATCACCTGGATCATGCACTTAGCTATGTGGACATCTTTTCAGGAGACAGTAGTGTTCACTGAGTTCAGAGGAATAGACCTAAGTTATTTTAATTGTTTAGGAAGGCATCTGGGACTCCAAACAGGAGTTTTATTGCAGGAAGGTCACAAAACCCATAATTCTCACAAGTAAATATACTCTTGACTGCTTCCAAATATAAATTAGGATGACTAATGCTGAGAATAGCAGAGAGATCAGTTCAATTTTTAAATGTCACGTAAGGGATTCATACTGATAGTTTATGATACATTTTTATGGCTTGCTGCCAACCTGATGCCATTCCATCTTCCTCTTTCAGCTGGGCTTGGGACTGTTTATGCACAGAGAAACTAAATGAGCAGATGATACCCAAATTGAAAAGTTTCCAGTATCTGGGTTCTAGAATACGGGGAAATGGAGGATGAAATTAGAGCTCTGATAATTAACACCTGGTTCAAATGGAAAGAGAGAAATGGTAGGTCACAAGAGAATATCAATAAGATTAAAAGAGAATGCAAATAAAATGGTGGTCTGTCCAGCTGTAATGTATGGCACTGAGGCCTGGTCTATAGTACAGTGGAAGAGCAAAATAAGATAAGCAACTCCAGCTATGTTAATATTGTGATACACATATTTTGTGTGATATTGTGATACACATATTTTATATTGTGTTTCTACGCTGTCCACTCAGTGGGAGGCCATTACTACTTCCTTACTCCTCATAAAAGGAGGAGTACCAGATGCTGGTTGGAACTGCCCTCAGCATTTGATGTACGGGTCCAGACTTGATGCACTAAATCGAATGCTGGAAGATCGATGTCTGGAGAGGTAAATCTTCCATGTAGTGTAGATGTGCCCTGAGTGTTAAGCCACAGGGAAAAAACATGAGCAAATGATCTGTTCCACAGAATAATAATATTTAGATGTATAAGTGGTGTGCACAAGGAAGAGCATGTGAGGAATGTGGATGCTAGAAACACGTTCAAACTAACACTGTGGGGAAAAAAATGAAGGTATGCAGGTTCTGATGGTTTGGTCATGAAAATGTAGTCCTGAAAAGTTTGTGGTAAGAGAACCAAACAGATCAAGATTGAAGGACAAAGGCAGCAAGGCCGACCCAATAGGAAGTGGTGGAATATAGAAGAAGACATCTTAGCACATAGTCTGATAGAGGATATGGCACTGCAGATAGAATTTTGGAGGGAGAGGACTGGTAGAGTGGGATTATTGCAAGGACATAGTCATTGTGCAAGGATCAGCATGGATTTACTGCCCATGAATCACTTAGTTTTTCATTCTGGTCTCTGATTTGGTAAGAACATAAAATGGCGTTGAGATGCTTCTTAAAAACATATTTTTACAGTTTTAATTAGTGGATGGTTCTCTTCACTGCTTCTTGGTAGCATTATGTTCCATCTCAATGATTGCAGGACATCAATAATTCACATTGTGTCAAGTAACAAAAACATAAGGAGCTATGCTCTCCCTAAACAACAGTTGGTACTGCAAAGATCTATAACAACAAAGAGCCTACTGCATGAAAGGCAACTTTAAAACATAAAACCTAAATAACTGTTTCCTTCAGATAGAACACATATGGATAAATGGGAGTTTTGTTGTGTGAATCCAGGAGATTTAATTGTCTCTATGCCATAGAGACAATGGGCCAGATTCTCCAGACTATTGGACTAGCTAGCACCTGTTTCCTTATGGAAAGCCAATCAGTCTGGCCAGTGGCACATTCCCTTTATGTAAGGGAAAGTCTAGATAGCATAGAGCGCCTGTAAAAGATTATATGCCACACTGTATCATTCCCAGAGAAGAGCATATCTGGGGAAACTGAGACGTAGCAAGGAGACTCTCCTGCTGCTGCAGGGACTCCCAGAGGGACACCAGCAGACTTGAGAAGCCTTAAGACAGTTGAAATGGAGACATTGTTTGAGAATAACCCAGTTCTGTGGTGACTGAAGACCAAGGGGTTGTGGATACTGCTTAAGGTCACATTTGCTCCTCACATGCCTATTCTTAAACCAAGCTCCTCTCCTATGGGCCGGGAGACCGGGCTCAGTGATGCTGTTACCAAAAAAACATTAAATGTAGGGAGAAGGAAACTCATTTTGCCTAAGTCCAAATCTGGTCAAAAGTTCAGCTTGGTGCATCTGTTTGCTTGGGAGGTACTTTGAAGAAAACAAGTGATGGAATAGGACAAAGAAACCTCATTTGATGTTTTTAATTGCATTTCAGGAGGCGAAAAGTATTTTAAAAAAGCATTTTTTTCTAGCCGAGTGATCTTAGAGCCCTCGAAAAGAACTGTGACTTTGAGTAAATGGGACTCTATGCAGGCCCAGCAGTCTATCAGCATGAATCCCTTTGCAGAAATAGGCCAGGGCCTGAATTAAACAAAGAAATAGAAGCTTCAGGGGGTAGCCGAGTAGGTTATGTTTGAGATTCTTTCCAGTGACTTGAACT